CCCCAAGTAACCTGTTTAAATGTTGATGCTTCGTCTTGTTTGCTTTTAACATTTGAAATTTTCCTCCAGTATCTCTAAGAACCTGACCTTTGCCACGAACTGGTTACCATTCATTCACCTGCTGAATATTTCTAAGTTTTTAATAATTTAGTTTTGGGGCCAAGTTCAAAAATGATATGTTCAACAAATTTGTGTAGATAGCTGCTGTAACAAAGTATCAGTGAATGAAGTGATTTCTTTCCGGCTCACGTAAGAGTTTATCAGGCAGAGGCAGTAGTCGGTGGGTCTATTATCTTGGCATCCCTTAAAACACAAGTCAACAAATATTTTCTGTAAAGAGTAAATATTTAATGCTTTATGAGTCATTGGGTAGGCCTGTCTTCAGTAATTCTGCTTCTACAATTGTAGTTCCATACACACTTTAAAATGAGTTGGGGTGGTTATGTTCTGAATTTTTTTCTTTTTTAACAAGAAGTCTGTCCCATTTGGCCCGAAGGCTATAGTTTTGCTACCTGCTGCTACAGAACTTCAACAGCTTCTGCTTCTAGCAAAAGGTTGGACCAAAGGAAGGCACGCCTACTTTTTAAGTAAGTGAGCCTAGAACTGACCTACAGCGCATTCTCTGCCAGATCCTTGGCAAGAATGAGGTTACATCTAAATAAAAGGGAGGAGGCTGGAAAGGGCTTCCCTGGCTAGCCAAGCACCTCCCACGATTACAGGATGGTCAAAAAGACATTTAATTAGTTATGTCTACCACAAATTATGTTCCCCTTATTTTGGGTCTTTTCCATCGGTATGTTTACTTATCCTTATAATAAATGAGAGTATTCTAGGGCCGGGGATTTAGCTTAGTGGTTCCACCGCCTGCCTCGAAAGCACAAGGACTTGAGTTCCATCCCTGGTACCCCCCCAAAAAGAGTATTCTATAGTATTTATGATCTTTTTAAAAAAAAAAACCCTTTTTCAAACAAAATCTTAGAAAAAAAATCTCTAAATAGCAAACAGCAAAGTTGAAATGCTCTGGAATTAAAGCGGGGATGGGAGAGGGGGATAGAATGCTATCTGCTCAGCCTTTTCCTCCGCAGATGAGGCTTATCTGTGAAGGTTACTTTTGTGTGGAAAGATACAACCATGATTTTAAAAGGTAATGTCATAACATTAATACTGTAATAATAGCATCTATAAAATCATAGAAATCACCATTTCGTTGTTTTTAATCATCTGAAATTTAAGGACTTTCAAATAACTCACTTTTTTTTTTTTTTTTTTTTTGGTGGTGGTGGTGCTGAGGATTGAACTGAGGGCCTCTAGCATGATAGGCAAGAAATGTACCCCTAGGCCAGGGATTTAGCTCAGTGGTTCTGCTGCCTGCCTCCTCAAAAGCACAAGGTCTGGAGTTTGATCCCCGGTATGAAAAAATTAAAAGAAAAAAATATACCACTGAGCTAAATCTCCAGCCCTTCTTTACCAACAATTCTATTTGAGTAATAGAAAAGAGGAAAGGAAGGAACAAGTGAAAACATTATTGCATGTATCATTTATAAAGGTATTAAGAGAATTCATTATAAGCAAATTTATCCTACTTTGGGCTGTTTTTTTCAAAAAAATTGAAGGTATTTAGCTGCCCTTAATATGTATGGGTTTTTTTTTTTGTTTTTTGTTTTTTGTTTGAGATAGGATCTCATTATGCAGTCCAGGCTGGTTTGAACTCACTTTGTAACCTAGGCTGGCCTTCAACTCTCCACAGTCCTCTTGCTTCAGCCTCCTGAGTACTGGGATTATAGGTGTATGCCACCACACCCAGCTCCTTAATTTCTTTGACCCCTCATTGCTTTAAACAACTAAAGTGTGATCCACTTTGCACTTCTTTCATGAGTTTTTTTTTTCTGTTTAAATATAACATTTTTTTCTTTCAGGATTCCAGTAAAATAAATAAACCATCATTAGAACTGAGCAAGGTCAGGCCAGGCGTAGTGGCGCACACCTGTAATCCCAGCACTGGGGAGGCTGAGGCAGGAGAATCGCCATGAGTTGGAGAACAGCCTGGGCTACATAGTGAGTTACAGGTCAGTCTCAACTACATAGTGAGACCCTGTCTCAAAAAAAACAAAACAAAACAAAACAAAACAAAAACCAAAAAAAACCTGAGCAAGGTCAGGAGTTCGATCCCCAGTACTTCCCCCCCATCAAGAAAAAGAAAAGAAAAAAGAACTGAGTCATAGTGGCACTATTCTTACATGGAATAGAAGTAATAATCCATTAAATTTTCCCCAGAATCAGTTTTGTCATTAAAAAGAAAAAAATGTTCTCAATAAAGGCTATCAGTTTGTGATGACTATTGTGTGATTGCATTAAGTGGTTAGTAAACAACTATTCAGTGGCTGCTTTGTGCAAAGCAGTCTGAGATGGATGACATAAGAATTTGTTCGGTTGGGGATTTAGCTCAGTGGTTCTGCCTCCTGCCTTGCAATCACAAGGACCCAAGTTAAATCCCTGGTACAAAAAAAAAAAATTTGTTGTTGTTGTTATTGTTTTTAGACAGGGTATCGCTACAGCCCAGGATGGTATGTAGCATGAGCTGGCCTTGGACTCCCAAGGCCTTGGACTCCTGCCTCAGCCTCTCAAGTGCTGGGATTACAGGTATATGCCACCATGATCCATGATCAGTTTTTTTGTCAAAGAGATTTTTAATCAAGAAGGAAAGAAGAAACTAATAGTAATTTGTACATGGATAGCCATTTAGTTGATGAGGTTAAAGTTATTACAAAAACAAAACTCTGGTGAGAAATGCCTAAGTGTATGTGTAGTAGCCAGTGTAGGGGTATGTGGGGGTGTGGCCCGAAGGATCTGTATCCCTCCTTCCTTCCTTTGAACCTCCTGATTCCCACCTGCCATGCCATGAGCAAGCCTCCTCTGCCACATCTTTATGCCACACTGCCCCACCTTGGAGCCAGTCAACTAGGAAATGAAACCTCTACAAACTGTAAGCCAAAGTAATTTTAACTTGTAGATGTGGGGTATTTTGTCTAGCTATGAGAAAGTAAGACACAATGCTAGCAGTATTTCCTTCTCAACATTTCCTGCATCTCTCTTCCTTCCACTGCCTTAGTTTAGATCCTCATCCTCTTTCGTCCAGTCTTAACTCTTTCCTATGTCCATTCCCATATCTTTGCAATCTAACCTGCTCAATGTGATCTTCCTAAAGCCCATATCTAATATTATTTCTCTATAAATTTTTTATAGCTTCTCTTGCCCACATTTTTTTTTTTTTTTTTTGAGACGGGGTCTGGCTGTGTAATTCAGGTTGGCCTTGAACTCTCGGCAGTCTTCTAGCTTTAGCCTACTGAGTGCTGGATTATAGGTGTGGGCACCAGGTTTGGAGTTAAGTGGTTTGGAGAGCCAAATTGGTAACTAATATATGAAGTTCCTTTGTTCAAGAAAAATGTTAGTAAGGGAGATTCTGGTGAAGGAAATGAAAGATTTTACCATATCTTTCCTAGGGGAATTCAGATTCAATAAAAGAATGTTCCAGAGTTGGGTGTGGAAGGACACAACTATAATCCCAGATTGGGAGGCTGGGGAAAGAGGATCCCTGTGAGTTTGAGGCCAGCCTGGGCTACATAGTGAGACCTTATCTGAAAAAAAATTGTTTCATTCCAAATTAGACCAGAGCTGCTGGCATATGATCTTTATTTAACCTACACGACTAAATAAAAAAGGCCTCAGTGTATAACCCAAAACTTTGTGATCTGACTCCTGCCTTATTCTCATGTTGCTTTGTCCCACAGCTCAATTTTGACATTGTTCAAATGGAACAACTGTAGTTTGTGGAAGATACCCTGATTCTTTATCCCTGTAGTCCTTTGTTCTATTCCTGTCAGGATGCCCTTTTCCACCCAATTCACTAGACAAATATCCATTTATTTCTAAGATTACGTTCAAGGATCACTTCTTTGAAGCCTTGGGTGGATCAAGAGATCTCTAGTGGGTTGGGGTTTGTAGCTCAGTATATAATGTTTTCCTACCATACCTGAGGCCCTGGGTTTGCTTCTCTCATACCACAGCATGAGAAGTGTCAGTTTGCTGGTAGAAAGCTTATTTAATAGAAAGTGGAAGCCACAGTTGTGACTAAGATGATAAAGAATTTAAAGTAAACCTAAGAAGTCTTATATTGAGACTATAATAAGTGGAGCCAGTTTGAAGATTTTAGTTCAAGAAAATACCATGGCATTGTAGCAAGAAATATGGCACTAAATCATATACAGCTATAAGAATTATAAAAAGTTCTTACCCTTTCCAGAGGAAAGTAAAAATGATCAGAGGTGGGCTTTTACTTTTCTGTAAGATTTTTAAAATTTCTTTTATTTTATCTCTATCCCCCCTTTTATTAAGTTTATTGGCACATTCTAGGTATACAGCACAGTCACATTCACCATCAGGATCCTGTACCTCCACATGACAGGTCCTGGTTCCCACTCCCTCCCCCCGTCCCTATCCTCCCCACTAACAGACACCCCATTTCCATTTTTCCATTCTCCCACATTCCCCTCTTTCCCCTTATTTCCTTTCCCCTACCCTTCCCACTTTCCCTACACCTTTAGCCCTTTTCTTCCTATTTCACATGGTCAATTATCTCATTAGGATCTTACGTACTATTATAGCTTTTCACACTAGAGAAACTATTTGGTATTTACAACGTGTGACTTATTTCACTTAGGAGTATATCCTCAATATGTATCCATTTTCCTATAAATGAATCTAATTTCTCATTCTTTATGGATGAGTAGTATTCCATTTTATAGAAAGAAAAATTCAATTTTTGTAAGACTGTAAATGATTTGTTGCTCCTTGTCCAAGATTATTTTATTACAAAAAAACCCTAAACCAAACCAGAATTAAGGCTGTATGTTTCATATCAATTTACCTTCAAGATTTTACAGGTCTTTTCACACTAAAGAGTACTGTATAACAATAAAAAAAGGCAAGTATGGGTACTTATCACATATTATTTAATGTGTTTATTTAAATTCTCCTTAAAATAATTCTATTTTCATGGAATAAAGATAATAAGTACTAACAGGTAACTGGATAGGCCCAGGATCAAGGATGATTGACTGACCATCACACTGGGCTTCCCCACAGTATTTTAGACAAAATAAATTTCCAATTTCTTTTAAATATATGACTAACCACAACGCTAAGATCAACCCAAGTTTTTTTCCAAGGGCTGTAAAGGACCAGTACTCTACTTGGTAACAATGGCTTCAAGAGGTTATCAGTCTGGAACAAACATAAATTTAACTAGAAAGTTCGGGTTTATATTTTACAGTCAACCACCTGAGACATGCATGAACAACAAATGGCCTATAAATGCCATCTGCTGACTTTTTATATTTTCATGTTAACATTTTCCCTTTAAAGATGCGTAGCCAGCTCTAAGCAAATAAATGAAAATTTCAGACGTTTAGAAATAAATGTCTCCATTCTTTAATTTTGTTTCCGTTCTATCAGACGTTGAATGTGTATCGTGGACATTTTTTCAGAGTAAAAAGCTATTATTACAAAACTATGATTATTTTATAAAGGCAGCAAAACTTGGGTAAGCAAAGGTGGAGAACAACATACGCATTGTACATCCTTGTAGACTTTTAAAGTTATTTTTTAAAAATGAATATGCTGTGTACCGTTTTGTAACTTTTATCGCCTAGGACTCTCAGTATCTTTGCACATTTATTTTATTCTACAGTACTCACCTGTAGAATTATCTTAAATGGCTGCCTGGTATTTGGATGTACCGCAAATTATACAACAAATGTCCTGACCTTTGGAATTCCTCACTATTAGAAACAGCATTGAGAAGCATAGTAGTAACTTTTGAGATTACAGTCATTTCCTTTCCTAGGATTCCAGTGGAATATGATGGCGTCCCTTCTCTGCCAACATGGGAATATTTAGGCATTACCAATGCCTCTCCCAAAAAATTTCCTTTGTGCTGAGCGAAAATACTATTTTACCGCGTTATGCGCAGGTTTTTGACTACCTGGGAGTCACTGAAAGACAGTACTGAGGAGTAGCTTTAAAAACCTGGCAGGACCAAGGCAGCCCAGACGACCGACCTCAAAACAGGGCGACGCCGAGCAACGTCAACAGGCTGAGGCGCGCTCCTGTGTGACGCTGCGTGCGAGGTTGTAGGTACGTAAGTGCGTGCGCGCGCGTGCGCGCTCTGCCGCCAATGCTGGGGACTATTTGCTTGCCCGGCGTAAGCCCCGTTACAGGTATCAACTTCTCAAGAGTTCTGTTTGTGTGCCTCCACCTTCAGATTGGGGCAGGTTTAGGTTTCCCGCGGAAAATCGGAGGACGCAGGGCTTGATTTTGTCTGGCCTTGCTTTCTTCGTGTGTGTTTGTGTGTGTGTGTGTGTGTGTGTGTGTGTGGGTAGGTGGGTGGGTGGGTGCTTGGAGAGGCAGTGCAGGGAATGAATAGTTTGCACTCCTTTCTCTCGCCCCTGACTTTGTGGTACTGCTGGCGTGATCAGTTCGTTTAACCTCTCCTTGCACAGATGATTTGATTGGAGAAGTTTAGAGGGATGTAGACTTCCCCTTCCGCCACTTACAAGCTTGGATACAGAGTTAGTTCTCAGCCCAGATCTCCAGACGCTTAATCCCGGCCTCTTGGTCCTGGGTACTTTCCGAAAAGGCTGGAGTATCCCCAGGTATTAAAGAGGAGTAAAGCCCTGAAAGGTGATTTCTGTGCCGCAGACACTAGAAATAGTACTTAAAGTAAATCCTAAGTATCCTTTTAAAAGATGATTTTTGCAGTTCGTATCACATTAAGAGTGCCATGATATTTTTCATCGTATAATTGCTTTAGTAAATCAAGTGAATCATCAGTTCACTTCTTTGTCTTCTAATATCCGAGTGTGGTTACAGTCTGAAAGGTGGTTTGTTGATGAAGTGTAAATTAAAATGATGTTATATTTTCTGTGCTCATTAGCTCTCATCAAGTACCTAAAGAACATCTGGAGTGCTGCTAGATCCTTAAGCTATTTAAACAATGTCTATTTCCTGGCTATTTTGTGGTTTGTTACAGGAATGTGTTTCTGATCATCCGAAATCTCAGCCATGTGGTCAAACCGATTAGGAAATTTCCTAAAAGTTGCAAGCACTCATCTTCTGTATTCAAGATTGTGCCAGCGGTTAATAAGAAATAAAAGGAGGTTTTTTGGAACAGTGCCAACATCCAGATTGAGTAGGAGAGTTGTCATTACAGGGATTGGCTTAGTGACTCCTCTTGGTGTTGGAACCCAGCTAGTATGGGATCGGCTTCTCCAGGGACAAAGTGGAATTGTTTCACTGGTTGGTGAAGAGTATAAAAATATCCCTTGCAGTGTTGCTGCTTATGTGCCAAGAGGTTTTGATGAAGGTCAGTTCAATGAACAAAACTTTGTGTCCAGGTCAGATGTCAAGTCCATGTCTTCTCCCACCATCATGGCCATTGGGGCAGCAGAATTAGCCTTGAAAGATTCCGACTGGCATCCTCAGTCAGAAGCTGATCAAGTGACTACTGGTGTTGCAATTGGGATGGGAATGGTGCCCCTTGAAATTGTTTCTGAAACTGCTTTGATGTTTCAGACAAAAGGGTACAATAAAGTCAGTCCATTTTTTGTCCCTAAGATTCTGATTAACATGGCTGCAGGCCAGGTCAGTATTCGATATAAATTCAAGGGCCCTAACCATGCGGTATCCACAGCCTGTACCACAGGAGCTCATGCTGTGGGAGACTCTTTCAGATTTATAGCCCATGGTGATGCTGATGTAATGGTGGCTGGAGGTACAGATTCTTGTATCAGTCCTTTATCTCTTGCTGGGTTTTCCAGAGCTCGGGCTCTAAGCACAAACTCAGATCCTAAGGTGGCATGTCGACCATTTCATCCGAAGAGAGATGGTTTTGTAATGGGAGAAGGTGCAGCCGTGCTGGTGCTAGAAGAATATGAACATGCTGTTCAGAGAAAGGCCCAGATCTATGCAGAAGTTTTGGGCTATGGACTCTCAGGTGATGCTGGTCACATGACTGCCCCTGATCCTGAAGGAGAAGGTGCCTTAAGGTAAAGACTGGTGGTTTTGTTGAAAATGCTTTTTTCATATAAGTCTTGTTGAAGTTTCAAATTAGAGAAAATTGTAATGTCTAAAATTGTAAGTCTTGGTATACAGTATCTATGGTCTTTTCATTTTTAAATTAACCAAATTATTTTTTAATTTTTTGCTTGAAATATTTGAACAACTTTTAAAAAATTGGATTTTAGTGAAGACTAGTAAACTTATGATGTAGTTTGAAACTACGTCTTTGCTACTTTTCCAGGTCTGCACTTGCGATTCATAACTATCAATGTACACCCTCTCACCCTTCTCCTTTCTCCACTTCATCAGACTTAGAGAGTAACGTCTACCATCCTAGATGTCTGGTCTGTGCTCCATTCCACTAATGTTCTGTTGTTTTCAAATTGTCCTTCTCACACTGTAATCACTGAAGGATCTTACTGATTGTTACTGTAGATCTAGGGTAGCTCTTGAGAGTCTACATTTCTAACAGGATCTTAGGTAATAGTGATGCTACTACTCTAAAGACCACACTTTAAAAAGCAATTCAACTTTTGTAGAAGAGATAAGTAATAAGTTGAGGTTAAAAAAATCCTTGATAATCTGTTAATGTGTTGTCTAATGGGTTAGATTTACCCAGTTAAATTAACCAGGAGTTAGCAAACCTTTTCTGTAAAGGGACAGATGGCAGGTATTTTTGTCTTTGTAGGCCATAAGATCTCTGTTGAAACTCAATTTTGCCCTTGTACTATGAAAGCAGTGATGGACAATATAGTGTAATAGGTGTGCGTGTGTTTCTATAAAAATACGGTATTTACAAAAGCAGACATCTGTGCAGAGCCATAGTTTACTGAGCTCTAAATTATACTTTTGAGTTTTGGTGAGTACTTACTGGTGCTAGATATGTCAAGCATAGTAACTACTAGTTGTGGAAATAGTTATCTTTAGAGGAAACCTTTCAGCACAGTAAAAATTATACATAGAGCTGTTAGTGAATATATGCAGCCAAGAGATCAACTATGAAAAAGATGCTGACATCCAGATTTTCTTTTTTTGTTCCTTTGCTTTTCTTGAGGTAGGGTCTAACTATGTAGCACAGGCTGGCCTTGAATTCACTGCATAGCCTAGGCTGGCCTCCAACTCTTGGCAATCCTCCTACTTCAGCCTCCCAGTGCTGGGATTATAGGCGTCTGCCACCTTGCCCAGATGATATCCACATTTTCAAAAGTTACTCTAGATAATTTTTATTTTTAGATTTGTTTGTTCTTTTGGTTCTGTATTTATTTACAATTCTTCTAGAATACACAAAAAGGATTTTGAAAGGCATTTGAAGTACTGAAGTAGTAGATTAGTGGGAAATATGTCAAATTTTGCATTTGAACATGAGAGGAAACATAGAACATAGTTTCATACCTTTCCCCATATTTTAAATCTCCAGCTTGCCTCTGCTCATGAAAAATTCCTAGAAGGAAATTATTTTAGTCTTGAGTAAAAGTGATTTTTTCCCCCCAAGGAAACAAATATGCCAATTCAAATAAATGGAATTATATTTTATTTCATATTATACAGTCTTTAGTGTGTTCAGTTCTTAGTGATGAATCAGTCCAAGGGACTCATTATTCCCACATAGACAGCATTTAAAGCACATGGTAATCTGAGATGGGGTTCATTCATTGTGCTCTGATACCTGTGTTTCTTTTTTGTTTTGTTTTGTTTTTGTTTTTGCTGTACCGGGGATTGAACTCAGGACCTGTGCTTGCAGGCAGGTGTGGTGCTGCTGAGCTACATTCCCGGTACCTGTGCTGCTTTTGCACAAGATTTTCAGGTAAAGAATCTGTTAAAATTAAAATTAGTTCTGATAAATTGAATTTCTTTTCTTGTTAGATGTATGGCTGCTGCTATAAAAGATGCAGGTATACAACCTGAAGAGATATCCTATGTCAACGCACATGCTACTTCTACACCATTGGGAGATGCTGCCGAAAACAAAGCTATCAAGCATCTCTTCAAAGACCATGCATATGCCCTGGCAGTTTCCTCAACAAAGGGAGCCACAGGACATCTGCTGGGTGCTGCAGGTGTGGTTGAGGCCGCTTTTACTGCACTTGCTTGTTACCATCGAAAACTGCCACCTACTTTAAACCTGGATTGTACAGAACCAGAATTTGATCTCAATTATGTTCCACTAAAGGCACAAGAATGGAAAACTGATAAAAGGTGTATTGGACTCACCAATTCCTTTGGATTTGGTGGTACAAATGCAGCACTTTGTATTGCTGGCATATAGGACAAATCCTGTGTAATAAAACATTGGCTTTTATATATATATATATATATATATAAATACTGAAATATCTTTTATCTACATTAAGGTTTCTCAACCTCGCACTGTGTTGGTATTGGTATGGGATAATTCACTGTTGAGTGAAGGAGGTCTTGTGCATTGTAGGTTGTTTGACAGCATCTTGGTCTCTTCCTACTAGATTCCAGTAACAACTCCTTCCCTAATCATGACAACCAGAAATATCTCTAAATATTGCTGATAGACCAAATAACCCACCCTTAAGGACAGCTGATCTGTTTTCCTAATATTCTAGATCAGACAACTTCTGTATTTCATGTGCTTCTATCCATTTCATAGATATTTATAGAGCAGCTCCTCTTTCTGGGCAGGGTTGTTAAATGGTACAATTCTAGGCACATTATTCATATTATTCAGAATATAGGAAGGAATGTATAACTGCATGTTTCATCATCAGTCAACATTCTTTGAGTATAACTGTCAACCTGTAATGATCTGTTTTCCCCTTACCTATTCTACCCTGTTTTCTTTGTGTTACTTATTCTGTAATTCAGTAAATTAATTAAATTTCCCTAACCCACCAAGCTATTGGTTCTCTGAAAGAAGGAAATAAAAATTAATTGTCATTCATTCTGGCACCGAGTGATTAACAGAGATAAAGATCTTCGAAATAGAAATTGTTGGTGACCAGGCCATATCCCTTCAGCCTACCTCTTTGCAGTGATGACAGTATCATGTGTTCCTCCAACTTTTCCACCACAAGTGCTAGTGGACCTTCTACTTTTCTTCCTTGAGGATTTCTCAAAAACTAAATGATCTGATTCATTCCCAGAAGACTGGAAATGCTCGAGGTGGGGGTTGCGGCCTCAGCAGAGGCAGCACTCAGCCAGTGAACAGGACAGCTGCTAAGAGCCTCAAGCCTCCCTTTAGAGGAAGGGCTGACCGGATTCCCAGTCAGCTAGAGCTTCAGTTGCCCACAGTATTAACCAAATCAGCAATATCTTCCTTACTGGCTTTTTTCTTCTCTGTCCTTCTTTCCTGTTTGTGTTTTGAGACAGAGTCTTGCTATGTAGTTCAGGGTGGCCTTGAACTCACTATGTATTCCAAGCTCACTATGTATTCCAAGGCCTCAAACTCTCAGCAATACTCCCTGCCTCAACCTCCTGAGTACTGGGATTATAGATTTGTGCCACCACACCTGGCTCTAATGTCTCCTTAATGTAGCTGCCATTCACTTTTCAACTTGAAGGGCAAGAAATATTTAGAAGGTGATAGGATTTGGTAATGAGTGACCTCTTTCTTTCACAAAATCCCCTTCTTTTTTTCTACTGTCTTTTTCTTAAAATATAAACATCAGAACAGGGATTTTTATTGCTTCCTTCATTGCTATTATCCTTACTTCATAGAACATTGGAAAAAAGTTGGTCTCAAATAAACATTTGTTGAATGAACAAATAAATGAATTTTAGTAAATTGCTTTGCCAATTACCTACTGATTGACTTACCATGCTTGTTATCTAACGTAGCTCATATCACGAGAATGATGAGTCATTCCTGATTCCTTTCCTTTCCTTTTCCTAATCCTAGAGCCATTCCAGCTGAATATACAAAATATTTTCTTCATTTTCACCAAAATTATCATCTCTTCTCTGGACTGCAGTGACTAAACTTTTTGATCTTTCTGTTTCCATTACCCACTGCTTTCTAAAACACCTTTCATATCATGGCTGAAAATTGATCTTTTCATAATATGAATTAGATATATCATTTCCTGCAGAAAACCTTCCAGTGGCTTCCAATTTGACTTAGGATGAAATTGAACCCCTGACCATGGCCTGCAAAGTCCCTGCCTGTATATGACCTCCCTCTTAGTCTTATATCTTATAGGTCGCATGCAAGGCATGGTGGTATTCTTTCTATTCCTCAAATGTAGCACGCTCATTTCTACTTTTGTATTTATTCTCTCTTGGCCTGAATCACTTTTATTCTTAAATTTATGTGAACACTGGCTTCCTCTTTTGATTCAGATTTCAGTACACAGTTCTCAATTAGAGAGGCCTTCTCTAGCTACCCAGTCTAAAGTAGCTAATTCTATCTCAGAGCCTGTTTCTTCACATCTCATACTGCCAAAAATGATCTTTTTACGTGTATGTTTTTGCACTTTTAATTTCCTTTTAAGAACATTCCTCTTCATGAGGGGAAAGACCATATTGACCTTGTGAACAAAAACAGTATTCCTGCACAAGGCCAGATGTGTGGCGCACACGTGTGCATATATGCCTCTACATATTCAAACATACATTCCAATATGAACAAAAATTAGTCCCAACAGTAATGGAAAATACCTCCAGGACCTCAATGTTCCTATTATTAGAAAACCAAGAGAGTTGTTACTGTTGAGAATAAGTGCAGAAGATAAACCATAGCCACAATTAGTGCATACTAGTGTCTTAGTTACTTGGAATTCAGCTTTGATGTTTGGGACCAGTAAGAGAAAGATGACTGGTATCGTGGTAATTTCTTTGGAATTGTTTCACATAGGCAGCCTGACTTGAAGTATAAAGAGACTGTGGTGTGATAAAAAGATAGTGAATGCTTATTTATTTATTGGAGATAGGGTCACACTGTGTAGTTCACATTGGGCTTGAACTCACAGTGCAGCCCAGGCTGACCTCAAGCTCGTGTGATCTTCCAACCTCAGCCTCCTAGGTACTGGGATTACAGGTGTGTGCTACCACATCGGCCTAGATAGTGAATGTTTAAATTGTAAAATGTTATTACAATAAAAGACACATTGCTATTAATCTGCCTCTCCTCTTTGCTTTGAACACACATCCCAATGTTGTGGCCACTTTCTGAAGCAGTTCTGGAAGGCCTCTTTCATTATGCACTGACAGGGCTATCTTAACGTCCAGAGTCAATTCAAAATTTTACTTTTTATGGCCATATCAAAGTTGCGTGATGCTAGATGTGGTGAATAAGGTGGATGAAGACACACCGTAATGTTTTTATGAGCCTGCCTTTCTGTTGGACGGCACTCAGAAGCAACATTCACTATATATTTTTTTTTTATCATATCTCCTCCACACTTATGAAAGATGACTTCTAGAACTGCTTCAGAAAGTAGCGAGAATGATGGAATAAGTATGTGTGAAATGAGAGGAACCATTGTGAGGAAATTAATGCCAACGTGTCTTTAGCAGTAATACGTTTCTTAATTTTTTATTTAAAACATTTGCCATAATTTACAGTCATATCTCACAAATATATTATCTTGAACAAAAATGGCTATAGCTCAGGATCCAGTCACTTGCTTTCTTTAAAGGGTTACATAGTAAATATATTTGGCTCAGTGATCCTTATGGTCTCATTTATGACTTCTCAGCTCTGCCCTTGTAATGCAAAAGCGGCCACACAGAAAATATGTAAATGAATGAGCTTGGCAGGAATTGGCCAGCAGGGGGCCACATTTGAACAGTGGGTTTTAGTTTGGCAGCTGTGGTTCTACCTGCAAGGAAGCACATTCTCTGAAATGTTTAGCTAATTTGTCTGCATTCATGGTGTGTCCAGAAATTCTGCGCATTAAATTAGCTGAATTTCAGTACTGAAATAATAATAAAAACAACAGGTAGTGTTTATGTGCTTGGCATTATGGTATTATTTCACATACCTTTCTTTTTCTCTGTCTCTGTCACTATCTCTCTTTGTCTGTCTCAGTCTCTCTCTCTCTCTCTCCGTCTCTCTGAGGAATTGCACCTAGGGCCTCAGTGATGCTAAGCAAGCACTTTACCACTGAGTTATATCCTCAGATCTTTCTTAAATTTTGAGTAAGGGGTCACTAAATTGGCAAGGATAGCTTCAAACCAAATACCATAA